CGCAGGGTCCCCGCCCCGCCCGCGCCACGCGCCAGGGTGTGCACACGCGTCCAGCCGGTAACCCGCGGGAAGAGGAGCCAGCGGGAGCCGGGGTGCAGAGGCCTGTGGGCTGCGGGACCCCTCAAAAAGCCAAAGCAGCCGGGTATGGTGGCACATAACTATCATCCCAGCTGGGTGGGTGAGGCAGGAGGCTGCGGTGAGTTTGAAACCAGGAGGGCTACATAGTGGGACCCTATCTCAAACAAAACAAAAACAAAGACAAAAAAGAACAAAGCAAAAGCAGGAATTCGTCCCCTCTGCCTTACACGCAAGCTCAGCTCACTTAAACCCCCGTCAACACACAGACACTCTCCATGCCACCAGTCTCTCCTGTGCCTCACCACTAGCTCTCAGAGGACCGCCTCTGAGGGGAGTCCCAAGCTCCTAAGAGCACTTTCTCCATAAATTTACCGTCCTCTCTGCTGTTGGTAAAGTTAAGTGAGACTGGTCATGTCAAGGGCTGAAAACACAGTAAGCCTCCATAAATGTTAGCCGCTGTCACTGTGAATGTGATTGTTATTATTAAAAGTGGCTTGAGGTGGGCACATGCCTGTAACCCCAGTACTTGGGAGGCTGAGGCAGGATTGCCTCGAGTGTGAGGCCAACTTGGGCTACCTAGTGAGTTTGAGTCCAGTCTGGATTACATAGTGAGACCCTGTCTCAAGAAAAAAGGATGGGGTTTGAATCCCAATATGGCGTCCGACCTGTTCTTGGATCCTGTGGCTGCCGAGCTTCCAGGCCTCTCCCCTAAACAGTAAAATGGGGCCCAGCCTCTTTTTCCAGGCTGCTGTATACAGTTGGTGCTCTATACATGCAGACTAGTATGCTAGCTCATGTGCAGGTTTCTGCACAATTTTTCTGGGAGTCTGGAGTTCCTGGAGCATACAGCTTGGTTTGTGGGTGCTGCTGGGCCGCTCACTCACTCAGGAGCCCAATAAGGGAACCAAGCCAGGGCCCTTGGGTCCTCCCTGGCAGCAGTGGGCATCTAGGTGACGCTGCCTCTGCATGGTTTCTGTTGTCCTAGAGACCAAGCCGGTGTGTTTTCTCTTTTGTTTCTAGTCTACTCCTTGGGGAATTTTAACAACGAAAAGAGGAGGAGGAGCTGGCCTCTCACCTTTCCGCACCCTTCCGGGCCATCACACCACGCTTACCTGCGCAGCATAATCCCTTTCTTCCTGGCCTCCTCAGCCTCTGCCTGTGCAGCCTGCTCTCCCCACAGCAGCTCAAGGGGCCAGGAGAACCCGACTCACAGAACATCCCTCCTCTGCCTAGAATCCTTAAAGTTCCCTCCTCACTCAGAAAAAAGCCCAATTCCTCCCTGGGGATAGTGGCACATACCTGTCATCCCACTACTCAGGAGGCTGAGGCAGGAGGATTACTGCAAGGCAAGGCCAGCCTGGACTACATAGCAAGATCCTGTCACAAAAACTAAACAAGCAAACAAAAAAATCTGAAAAGCCCCTCACTCTTGAAAATCAAGGCAGGATATCTGTGACCCTTCCCCTGGCTTCATCTCCCTCTAATTGTCTACCTAACTCTTTTTGTTTTTGTTTTTGTTTTTATTTATTGAGACAGGGTCTCGCTGTGTAGTCCAGGCTGGTTTGGAACTCACTGGCCTTGAACCTAGAGCGATCCTCCCACCTCAGTCTCCCAAGTGCTGGGATGACAGGTATGCACCACCACGCCTGATTACTTTACAGACAGCCCACCCATTTTACAGATGAACAACCCCAGTGGATAGAGGTGTCCTGAGCCCGGGCCTGCCGGAATCCTGTCCCTGCCAACCTGGATCCAGACTGCCTCCCTGGATGCCACAAGGGAACCCTGCCAGGATCTGGCTCCAACCTTCCAGTGTGCATTTACTCAGTGAGTGTTTATCAGTGCCCACAGGGGACTCAGGAAGCACTGGAAACATAGTTGCACTCAGGGCCTTCACTGAGAGACAGAGGACTGATTGTAAAATCCCCACAAACAAGAGAACCACTCCAGAGCATCCTGCAGCTTCTTCCCACCCCTCTGATGTACGCTGGGGCCTTGCCCAACTCTCCCTGCTGCAGAGCCTGCTTCTGCCTTAGTAGTCTTACAAAAACTCCTCGCCCCACACCTGGCCTGATAGTGGTGTTCTCAGGCCTCCCAGCCCCTGTCCTCGCCACTCTCCTCACCCCCATGGTACAATACTGGGCTGTGCTCTTTCCAATCAATCTCATCTCACCTGTAACCCCAGGGCCTTTGCACTGGCTGCAGTCCAGTCAGGAACACCTTTCTATCATGTTGCTCCACTGCTGGCCCCAGTGACTATTTAATCTCCATTTAAATATTAGTTCTTCGAGCAGGGTGCCATGGTGCATGCCTATCATCCCAGCACTCTAGGAGGCTAAGGCAAGAAGTCCAGCCTAAGCAATTAGTGACTTAGCAAGACCCTAGCTCAAAATACAAGATAAAAAGGGCTGGGGGTGTAGTTGAGTGAGAAGGCCCTGGGTTCAATGCGCCCCCACAGAAAAGGCACCAGCTCTCTTCTGACCACACTTATGCCCATCCTTCCTGACTCATGTGCCATTTGATTTATTCTGAAAGGTGCTTCTGGGAAGCGGGGTTGAAGGGAGGGAAGGGGAATGGGGAAACAAAAGAAGCATCATGCCGGGTGTGGTGGTGCACGCCTGTAATCCCAGCAGTTGGGAGGCTGAGGCAGGAGGATCATTGCAAGTTCAAAACCAGCTTGGACTACATGGTGAGTTCAGCCTGCATTGTGTAGTAAGACCTTGACTTAAAAACGAAACAAAACAAAACAAAAAAAACAAGAATCCAGATATATCACATACAGGTACAAATTCCCTATGATGAATGTGATCGCTATGTATATCTAAACTATCAATAAAATTTTTTTTAAAATGCAAAAAAGAAAGAAAGACTAGGGCCAGCAGTGGAGCAATATGATGGAAAGGCATTCCTGACTTGACTGCAGCCAGTGCAAAGGCCCTGGGGCTGCAGGTGAGATGAGATTGCTTGAAAAGAGCACAGCCCAGTGTTGTCCCATGGGAGTGAGGAGAGTGGAGAGGACAGGGGCTGGGAGGCCTGAGACCACCTGCTTGCAGGCCAGGCTCTCTGACTCTCCTCAGGCCCTGGGATCACAGTCTGTAGAACAAACAATCAGACATAGGCAGGGGCAGAGGGCCCAAGAGGTGCAGCAAGCAACTTGGGAAGCAAACTCCCAGCCCTCACCTCCCCGCTACCCTGCTCCTTTCCTCTGGCCACGCTGCTCTCCTGCTGCTGCTCAAACACGCAGAGCCTGTGGTGACCTCAGGACCTTCAAACTGGCCGTTCCCTTTGCCTGCAGTGACTTCCTTCATGCTGGGCATGGTGGCGCTCACCTGTTGTCCCAGCACTCAAAGGCTGAGACAGGAGGTCTGTCCCAAGTTTGAAGCTAGCCTGAACTATGTAGTGAGACCCTGGCTCAAAATGAAATAAAGGCCGGGCGTGGTGGCGCATGCCTGTAATCCCAGCACTCAGAAGGCTGAGGCAGGAGGATTGTTGTGAGTTCGAGACCAGCCTGGGATACAAAAGAAAAAAAAAAATACAAAATGAAATAAAAAGATTTCCTTCAAATCTTGGCATTCTGTCTTCCTCTCTTCACTGCTGTCTTTATGCAGATGTTGCCTCACAGAGAAGCCTGCCCCAGGTGCACCCCCACCTAAAATAATTCCCATCCCACCCTCCACCCCCGCCCCTCACATACCATGTGTCTTCCTTGCTTTTTTTCTTTTTGTCTTTTTGAGACAGGGTCTCGCTATGCAGTTCAGGCTGGCCTTGAGCTCACTTTGTAGCCCAGACTGGTCTCAAACTCACAATGATCCTTCTGCCTCAGCCTCCTGAGTGCTGGGATCACAGGCATGCGTCACCACGCCTGGCCCTTGGTTTTTTTTGAAGATGGAAACCAGGGCCTTTCCTATTCCAGGCAAGCTCCACCTCTGCATACATTCCCAGCCCTACTTCCTTGTAAATTTATGGCTTATTTTATTTTGTTTTTTGAGACAGAATGTGACTATGTAGCCCAGCCTGGCCTCCAGATTATCTCAATTGTCCTGCCTCAGCCTCAAGTACTGAGGTTACAAGTGTGGGCCTTGTACAGCACTTGCCTCACATGGTTGGGGGCCTGGGTTTTATCCTCAGCATTGCAAAAACATACATGAAAATTCCCCTGAAGCCCAGCTACTCAGGAGGTTGACTGGAGTCCCTTGAGGGACAGGTAGGGTGAGACATCCCAAAAACAGATAAAACCAAGTAGCTGCTGAATGAATAGATGAAGGGAATGAACCAGGCATCATGGGATATGACAAAAAAAATTTTGGAGGAGGTGTCCTGGTAATTGAACCTAGGAGCTACACCTCTAGCTGGGTTTTGGTGGGGGTTTTTTTGTTGTTTTTTGGGTGGGGTTCTTTTTTTGTTTTTTTTTCTGGTACTGGGAATCGAGCTCATGACCTTCTGCTTGCCAGGCAGGCACTGTGCCACTGAGCTAAATCCCCAACCCCTGTTCTGTTTTTGTTTTTTTTTTTTTTTTTTGGTTTTTTTCCGGTACCGGGAACCGAACTCATGACCTTGCGCTTGCCAGGCAGGCGCTTTGCCGCTGAGCTAAATCCCCAGCCCCCCCTGTTCTGTTTTTGTTGTTGTTGTTGTTGTTTGTTTTTTGAGGCAGTCTCACTAATGTAACTCAAGCAGGTCTTGAACTCACTAGGTAACCCAGGCTGGCCTCCATTTCGTTTTGTTTTGTTTTTTGTTTTTTTTCTGGTACCGGGAATTGAACTCACGACTTTGTGCTTGCCAGGCAGGCGCTGTGCTGCTGAGCTAAATCCCCAGCCCCTGGCCTCCATTTCATGGCGATATTTCTGCCTCAGCCTCCCAAGTGCCGGAATTACAGATGTGCACCACCACTTCTGGTTAATAAAGCTATCTCAAAAAACACTGGGTGAGTCGAACGTGGTACCTCACACCTGACATCCCAGCATGCTGGGAAGTTGAGGCAGGAGGATGACAAGTTTGAGCCTAGCCTGGGCCATTTAGTGACTTACTGAGACCTCAGTTCAACATAAAAAATAAGAGCACAGTGTGGTGGCGCATGCCTGTAATCCCACCACTCAGGAGGCTGAGGTAGGAGGACAGCCATGAGTTTGAGGTGAGCCTGGGCTACACAGTAAGTTCAAGGCCAGCCTGAACTACATATCGAGACCCTGTTCAAGGAAAAAAAACAATGATGCAAAATAAATAAATAAATAAATAGGGACTTTGGATGCAGCTCAGTGTGAAGGCCCTGGGTTCAATCACCAATGCTGTGGTGGGGGGAGGAGCAATGTGTCAAGGCTGGAAACACAGGCATGGAGTAGCTTGATGAGGCACAGCCTGCAAGCCTGTCATCAAACCCTGCGCAATAATACCGGAGAGCTCCAGTAGTCACGTCTCTTCTTCTCCTAGCCTGTTTCTTCACCTGGCAAAAGGGTGATAATAGCTGATAATAGCTGCCTCTAGCTCATAGGGTTGCTACCAGTCTTAAATGAATTTCAGGTGGCGGTGCTTGGGATTGAATCCAGGGACGGCTGAGCTACATTCCCAAGGATGACTCCTTTATATTTTTGAGACAGTCTCCCTAAATCGCGCAGGCTGGGTAGAAACTTGTGATCCTCCTGCCTCAGCCTCCCAGAGTGCTGGGATTATAGTTGCATATTCAGCTTTACACAACATGGAACCATCAGTATGTGGTTTGGGAGCTGACTCTTTTCATACAGCATGTTGGTTTTTTTGTTTTGTTTTGTTTTTTGGCTTTTTGAGACAGGGTCTCACTATGCAGTTCAGGCTGGCCTTGTGATCACTTTCCAGCCCTGGCTGGTCTCGAACTCATCGTGATCCTCCTGCCTCAGCCTCCCGAGGGCTGGGATTACAGGTATGTGCCACTGTGCCCAGCTCATCTTTTGTTTCTGATTGAGGTAAAATTCACAGACCATACAATTTACCCTTTTTCAAGTGTATGTATGACTCAGTGGGTTTTTTTTTTATTATTATATTTACAGAGAAGATGTTGGTTTTCAGATTCATCCATAATGTCACATGTAGTGACAGTTTCTTCTTTTCATTTCTAGCAGTGCTGTGATTCCTGCACTGAGGAGGATTGATTCCAGGACCAAGGCCTAAACAAAATCTATCAATGAAGCCAGGCAAGGTGGCCCGGGCTGGTAATCTCTACACTCTGGGAGGCTGAGGCAAGAGAATCACAAGTTTGAACCCATCCTGTCTCAAAATGAAACATAAAAAGAACTGAGGATGGAGCTCAATGTAAAAGCCCTAGGTTCCAAACTGGGCGTGGTGGCGCACGCCTGTAATCCCAGCACTTGGGAGGCTGAGGCAGGAGGATCGCTTCGAGTTCAAGACCAGCCTGGGCTACAAAGTGAGCTCAAGGCCAGCCTGAACTGAGTAGCAAGACCCTGCCTCCAAAAAAAAAAAAAAAAAAAGACAAAACAAAACAAAAGGCCCTAGGTTTCAACCCCAGCAAGAAAAGAAGAGAGCACAGTCACTTCGTCCTTTTGCCTAAGGAGTTCCGAGACCTCCATTTCCCCAAGGGTGACTCCTGGCCACCAGCCCAAGGCAGTGCTGGTTGCCTCTCCAGCCAAAGTCACCATCACTTTCTTTTTAGCTCCTTGGGTGGGTGTGTTTGAAGTCTTTTCCATTTTAAAACATTTTGACGCAAATCAAGCCAATGTGACAAATGTTCACATTTGCTAATCTTGGGTGGTGGGTGTATCTGATCTTTTCTGTAGTAAAAATTTGATTTTTTTATATTTGGGGTTGAGTGTTGGGAAAGGGGAAGCTCCTCTGGCTGCGTGAATGGCGAATATCTTTGGAGCTCTCCTGTTCCCCTGGACCCTCAAAAGGACGTCCTGGCTCTAGTAATCTCCTGATTCATGGTCATCGCCCCCACCCACACTCTCCTCTCTCCCTAGGGACTGATGACTCCAGGCTTCCCAGGTACTTGGCTTGGTCCATCTCCCCCTCAGGGCATGGCATAAGGAAGCGGGTGGGGATGGGTTTTCAAATTTAGAAAATAATTTTAGCCGGGTGTGGGGGCGCATGCCTGTAATCCCAGCACTCAGGAGGCTGAGAGAGAAGGATCATTGCAAGTTCGAGGTCAGCCTGGGCTACAAAGTGAGCTCAAGGCCAGCCTGAACTGCATAGCGAGATCCTGCCTCAAAAAAGACAAAAAATAAAAAAAAAAAATTTTTTTTAAAAGGGCTTGGAGTAGCCAGGTGTGGTGGTGAATGCCTGTAATCCCAGCTCTTGGGAGGCTGAGGCAGGAGGAGCATTGTGAGTTTGAGACTAGCCTGGGCTACAAAGTGAGCTCAAGTCCAGCTTGAACTGTATAGGAGATCCTGTCTCAAAAACACAAACACACAAAAAGGGTTTGGAGCTGGGTGTAGTGGCACACACCTATAATCCCAGCACTTGGGAGGCTGAGGCAGGCTGACTGCCTCGAGTTTTATGCCAGCCTGGGCTACACAGCAAGACCCTGTCTTAAAAAAAAAAAAAGAAAAGAAAAAGAAAAACTTGCTGGGGATGAAGCTCATTGTTCTCGGAGGACCCCTGGGTTTGATTCCCAGTGCTGTAACAAAAGCACTAGAGGAAGGTATCTTTCAGCTGAGGGAGACAGGAATGCTACAGCAGCAAATATCATCCTTCTGGACATTTCACCTCTGTCCTCTCCAAATTCCCAAAGCAACGCACAGCTAAGAAAAAACTGCCCAGACCAGGTACAGGGACAAGGAGTAAGTGGAATTTTCACAGGGTATTGGGGTGTTGGTCCTGGTCCCACTCCACTGCAGCTGAACACATGGCTGATGGCTTGCCTATCGAGTCCTCAGGTATTTACTCTGGAGAAATGACTGCTTATGTTCACCAAAATACTTGTACAAGCTTTATTAACAACAGCCAAGCAACAGCGGTGCCAGTCAGCAGCACTCCCTAGTCTCAAAAGCAAAAAAGAGGCTGAAAGCGTAGCTGGGTGGCAGAGGGCCTCCATGGTACGCACTGGGCCCTGGCTTCAATCTCCAGCCCTGCAAAAATAAAACCAAAAACTTGAGGAACATGTCCCCGGCATGGTGACACCTCTACAATCACAGTACTCGGCAGGGGGGTGAGACAGGAGGATCATAAATTCGAGTCCGGTTTGGGCAATTTAGTGACTGCCTGAGACCCTTTTTTTTTTTAAAGACAAGGTCTGGCTATGTAATTCAGGCTGGTCTTGAACTCACTGTGTAGCCCAGGCTGGCCTCAAACTTGTGGATCCTCTTGCCTCAGCCTCCTCCTGAGCGCTGGGATTATAGGCATGCGCCACTATGCCTGGCTGAGACCCTGTTTTAAAAAATTAAAAAAATAAAAAAAAGGTCAAACAACCAATTGATCAATCGATGAATGGAGAAACTTTACTAGCTATATTGCAGTACAGTGGCACAGCAAACTACTACTCAGCAAGAGAAGAACAAATGATTGCAATGCCCAGCAATATGGACTAATGTAACAAAAGTTTTTTGTTTTCTTTTTTTTTTTTTTTTGTCTTTTTGAGACAGGGTCTCGATATGCAGTTCAGGCTGGCCTTGAGCTCACTTTGTAGACCAGGATGGTCTCGAACTCACAAATGATTCTCCTGCCTCAGCCTCCCTAGTGCTGGGATTACAGGCTTGCGCCACCACGCCCGGCACAAAAGTTTTTGAAAAGCTAAAGTACAGCAGTCATTTCAAACTGCCATTATCAGGGCTGGGGATTTAGCTCAGCGGCACAGCGCCTGCCTGGCAAGCTCAAGGTTGTGAGTTCGATTCCTGATTACCGGAAGAAACCCCCCCAAAACAAACAAACTGCCATTATCTCCTCAGAGCCCTTTCAAAGAGCTTTTACTGTCAGGGACCTAGAGGCTGGGAGTTAATGCCATCTCTTAAAAGCCATGGTCATAGCCAAAAGCCACACTTCAATAGGTTTGGCAAACTGAGTGCAGTATTCTGGGAGACTGAGGCAGGAGGATTGCAAATTTCAGCCCAGTCCATGCAATTTAGCGAAGCTACTTCAAAATAAAATTAAAAACAAAACAGAGCTGAGGATGTAGCTCAGAGTGAAGGCCCTGGGTTCATTACCCAGTACCAAAAAAACCAAAAATCCAAAAAACCGAAAAACTAATCAAACAAACGTGCCGCGGGCCAAATAATTGGTCTTTAACTGCCAATAAAAAAGATGGAGGGATGGGTGACGGCGCGTAATTCAAGTCACGTGATAGGACGTGGATCTGCGCCCGGCTCAGCTATTTCGGGCACGCCTACTTTTAGACCGACCAATGAAACTCAGGCGTTGGACACGCCCTCTTTTCCTTTCTACACCTATAATCTCTTGATACCTTCCACTGAGTCCAATCACCACTTCTGCTTCTTCTGAATGACAGCCCAGCGGTCCAGTGAGCGGGAACTAAGTGGGGACTTAGGAGGCAGGAAACGCGGCCTCTTAAGAGTACTGGCGCGCGACGGATAACCGGCGTTGGACGGTACTTCTCGTAGCACGCGGAGGTGAACGAGAAACCAAGTAAGCAGCGGGTCTCAGGCGCGGGGCCGCGCTGTGGGGAGGTCGGAGGTGTGGGTGAGCACTGAAAGGAGACAGCGTTGGACGAGGGGGAGCGGGAGATGGAAGCGCGAGACGGGTGGAGTGGTGGGGCCGCGCGGTGAGGCGGCCGTTGGGCGCCGTGGCGCATGCGCGCGAGCGGGCTGGCGGACGGAGCTCAGGGCGCTGGGCGCTTCCGGAAGGGGCGTCATGGCGCCTCGCGGTCCGTTCCCGGCCCGAACGGAGCCAAAGGCCGCCTCATGCGGCCGGGGACAGATCCCGGGGTGGCGCCGGGGGTAGGGTCGCGAGGGAGAAGCCGGCGATCCCGGGCAGGGCGTACTGCCTCCTCCCACGCGGCCTCGGTCTGGTCCCTTTAGGGACTCCGGTTTCAGGGATTGGGGCAAACAGCCCAGAGAACGGGAGCCCCGGGCGGGGCGCGCTGTGCTGTCACTCGCCGGCGCGCGGCCTCCGGGGCCTGCACCCCTGGTCCTCGCCGGTCGCGGAGTGGGCCTCCGAGCCCTGTCTCGTTCTGCTTCGAGTTTTAGATCCCGGCCCGCCACGAACTGGATTTTTGTTGTTGTTGTTGTTGTTCTTGTCTTGATTTTTGCCGTGCTGGGGATGGGATCTGGGGCCTCTTGCCTGCTAGGCAAGCGTTTTGCCACCGAAAATTTTGTGCCTCAGATCTCTCTCCCCATCAGCACGAAAGACCGTCGTTGGGTCCCTTTCCTGCCTTTGAAGGTTACCCTGTCAGGCCTGGCGTGCTGGAGTGCAATTGCCTATAATCCCAGCAGTCTGGGAGGCTGAAGCAAGAGGGTCGCTGTGAGTTCGAGGGGAGGCTGGGCTACATGGTGAGTTAAGGCCAGCCTGAACTACAAGACCTTGTCTCAAAAAACAAAACAAAACAAAATTTAAAAAGTGGCGGATGTAGTTCAGTGTATGGGTTCAGTTCCCAGTACTGCAGAAATAAGCAGACACTCTTGGTCACCCCTATTTAGAGCCTAGAGTAGATAAGTGCATCTTCAGTGTGTATCACCCAGGGCAAGGCCCAACCTGTTTAATGCCCTTCCTTCTGTCTTCTACTTGGTGCCCTTGTTAATTCCCTTTCATTTCCTGACTGGTTTTCTGCTTCTCCCATCCTACACTCCACCTCTGGAGTAAATTTCTCTTGGGTAAATCTTGACTGAGTTACTCCACTCTGAAACCTAATCATCAATTCCCTATTGCTTAGTAAATGCAGTACAAATCCCCAGAGCTTACCAGCCCTTCCGGCTTTGTGTGCTGCTTCTGCTTTGGCCAGGCAGACATTCTGTCATACCCCAGAAGATAGCCCAGAAGTACTGTTTGGACTGATCCTTCTTAGTTCCTGTTCTTTCCTTTGGTGCCTGAGAAATGAATCTCTCCTATTTTTCTGCCAGTAAGAATCCTTGGGGCTGGTGAGAGATTGTATCTTTCCAGAGATCTGAAGACTTGTGAAACTGCCTTAATGCCTGGGTTTTAGTTTTTTTTTTTTTTTTTTTTTTTTTTTTTTTAGCTTTTTGAGACAGGGTTTCACCGTGCAGTTCAGGCTGGCCTTGAACTCATTTTGTAGACCCAGCTGGCCTCAAACTTGCAATGATTCTCCTGCCTCAGCCTCCTGAGTGCTGGGATTACAGGCGTGTGCCACCATGCCCAGCTAGTCCATTCATTTAATCAGTGCTGTCCAGTGCAGATCTACTCTGCCTTATGTTTTGCTCCACACACAGGGCAGGGCTGAGTGGAGGGGGTGCTTTTCAAGTTGAGGCTGTGTGTGAAGCTTCTAGGTATCAGGAGCAGCAAGTGAAGGTGATGGGGTGCGGCAAGGCCATTAAGGAAGGGACAGGGAGATACGGTCTGAGTGTAGAGGGATCAGGTCATAAAGGGCTTGGGGCAATAGTATAGACCCAGGTTTTATTTTTGCCATGGTGGGAACCTGCGGAGGGTTTCTGTCCACAGTACTGGTGATCATATCCTGGGGCACTCTGAAACAGTGAGCTCCATGCCATCTCTTTTTTTTTTAATTTTGTTTTTTTTTGAGACAGATTGTCACTGTGTATGTAGTTTAGGTTAGCCGTCAAACTTGTGGCAGTCGGCCTGCCTCAGCCTCCCAAGTCCTGGTATTACAGGTTTGTGCCACCATGCCTAGGTTCTTTTTTTTTGAGACAGGATCTCCCTATGCAGTTCAAGCTGGCCTTGAATGAAGTATATAGCCCAGGCTGGCCTCAGAGACAGTCCTCCTGCCTCAGCCTCCTGAGTGCTGGGATTATAGGCATGTGCTACCATGCCCAGCTCATTGGTTGGTTTTGACCAGAGCAGTGCCTGCTGTGCCCAATCTGACTTTGATTAATTTGCAGTACAGGGGGTAAACCTTGGGCCTTTGGGCTGAATTACATCCCCAGCCTTTTAAAAAGTTTTTTGTTTGGAGACAGGGTCTTGATAAATTGCCTAGGGTGGGCTTGAACTTTCAGTTCTCCTGCCTCAGCCTCCGGTGTGCTGGGATTACAGGTGGGCACCACCATGCTCCACCTGACTTAGCCTTCATAGGCTCCCTTTGGCTGCTGTGGCTGGAGGGTTGGAGGATGGGAACAAGGAGCCAGGGAGAGAGATGAGTATAATGTGGCAAAAAAATGATCAGTGGCACCCAAGTTACAAAATGCTGTCTGCTCCTATGAAGGAATATTATTTGGTCATGAAAAAGAACAAAGCACTGTTGTTAATGCTATAATGTAAACGAACCTCAAGAATGATAGCAAGAGAAGCCGGACACAGACCGCATGGTGGGTGATACTGTTCTCATGGTCTGGAACGGGCACATCTGTAGAGCAGAAAGCAGATTGGCTCCAGGGATGGGGTGAAAACTAAAAGATGCAGACGGTTATTTCTGAGGCAGTGAGAGTTGGCTGTGGTGATGATTGCCTGTGTCTGTGACTGCAGTAAGATCCACTGAATTGTGTGCTCTGCTTGGTGAATTATAGAGCATATGAATACTTCAGCAGAGCTGTTCTATTTATTTTTTTATTTTTATTTTGTTTGCTTTTTTCCAGTACTGGGAATTGAACTCAGGACCTCACGCTTGCCAGGCAGGCGCCGTGCCACTGAGCTAAATCCCCAGCCCGAGCTGTTCTATTTAAAAAGAAAAGGAAGGTGGTAGCAGCTTGGGGCCAGTGAGAAGTGGCCAGATGGACGTAGATGGCCTGGTGGGTGGGATTTGCTGGCCAACTGGATGGGAGAGCGAGAGAGGGAAGACTGTGAGAATGGGGTTGCGCTCTCCGAGGCGGGGTGCAGGCCTGCGGGAGAGAGGTGTAGGACACAACTCCTGAGGAACTGGGCCCAGAGTCCAGGGGAGAGGTGGGCTAGAGATGGAGTTGGAGCATTAGCACAGCGATGGTTAAAACCTAGGACTGGGGAAGGTGACAGAAGGAGTGACAAGAGGGCCAATCCTGGGCTTAGGGGCCTCAGGTCAAAGCTAGGAGATAGGAAACAGGTGAGTGGAGTTGGTTCCTGGCTGTCTGTGTGCTGGAGGGGGTGGGGCACCTCGCGCTAATTCCATTTGCCATCTCTTATTCCTCCCTGCTGGACCCATGGGAGGTTTTCATGAAAGCACTTAATTACTCCCCTGTGTAGACCACAAGGAACAGGGAAATGGGGCTTGCTCACACCGCCTGCTTGGCCCGCGTTCCCTTTCCTGCAGCTCCCAGCAGCTGCCCTGTAGGTCACCATCCAGGCCTGGTGGGTCCTGGCACAGAGATGAGGCAGGGGATGCTCTGGTACAGGGCCTGGGGTGTTCCTAGGCTGAGGCTCAGGTGTCAGGAAGGACATGCTTGCAGACCTGGACCAGAGTGTTGCCCCAGGGCAGCAGCCACACTCAGAGGCTTGGGGCTTCCTGCGTCTAAGAGGGGTTGGGGAGGTGATAGAGGAATTGGTATGGAGCTGGGGGTGGACCCTGCAGATGCCTGGGCGCAGGCCGCACCTAGCCCTGGGCCACAACCCACTGTGCTGAGGAACAGCGATATCCCCAGTGGCATGGGCCTGCATGTGGGCCTGGGGCCAGACACGGGCTGGAGGAGGGCGGTGGAGATGGGCGAACAGTAGCCCAAGCCCCAGGAGGCCTTGCACCCTGGAGCTGGTGGTTGGAGCAGAGGGACCTGAGGACGCCGTACAGTTGCCGCATCCGTTTGCTCTGCCTCCCGGGCTGGTGCTGCCTCTTCCCTGGGTGGGTGGCTTTCCCTGCCTGCACTCTAGTCACTGCCCTCAGCTCTTCTTCTCTTCTGATCTCAGCACTATGGCAGAACAGGACGGGGAAAACGAGCTTCTGGATTATGAGGAAGATGAAGAGCCCCAGGCTCCTTCCGAGAACACCCCCACACTCCCAAAGAAAGACGTGAAAGGCTCCTACGTCTCCATCCACAGCTCTGGCTTCCGGGACTTCCTGCTGAAGCCGGAGCTCCTGAGGGCCATCGTGGACTGTGGCTTTGAGCACCCCTCAGAGGGTATGCCTCCCTATGGCCCCGCCTGGGTCTGTGCCCCCCACCAACTCTGCCCACCCTCGAGGCGTAAACTGTGATGGCCACGTCACTTTCTGCAGCAGGGCTCTGCCATGCGGAGTTAGAAGCTGAGGCCTGGCTTCAGAGTTCCTAACCCCATCTCCAGGGCCTTGGCCACCCTGCCGGGCCTCTGCCATTCATGAGCACTTTCTCCCGCAGTTCAGCATGAGTGCATCCCGCAGGCCATCCTGGGCATGGATGTCCTGTGCCAAGCCAAGTCTGGGATGGGCAAGACGGCGGTCTTCGTGCTGGCCACCCTACAGCAGATTGAGCCTGTCAATGGCCAGGTGGGTGCCTCCCTCCCAGGCCCAGCCACCATGGAGACAGAGCTGTGCTTCCCTGGTGACATTCCTGCTTCCACACTTTGGGCTCTGATATCAGGAAATACTGAGAAACCAGAACTGTCAAGTACTGGTAGCTTACTGCCAGAGAGAGGGGTCGCTTCCTCCATGTATACTTTTTCTTGGGTGGGACTGGGAGTCGAGCCCAGGGCCTTTGCACTGAATTACATGCCCAGCCCTGTTTGCTTACGGTTCTGGAGACTGCACCCAGAGGCCTTCCACCCCAGGCTGTGCTGGAACTTAGACTCCTCCTGGCATAGACTGTTTGAGTGCTGGCATTACAGTAGTGGGCCATGATGCTGGCCTGACATCGTGTGCTTTCCAGAGGGGAATTGTGCCGGCTGTGGTGATCTTACCAGCATTGTATACTATGTCAGGACAACTGTGGGGCTGAAAATGTAGCTCAGTGGTAGCCTCACGCGTGGGCTGGGTTCCATGCCCAGCACCAAAAAAGAAAAAAAGTTACGGCGGGTTTCCATCCCTTCTCAAGGTAGACTGTGAAGGCTGGGACTCTGGGCGGTGCTGGTGAGGCCCTGATGTCTGGCAGCCTCAAGCAGAGAACACTTGGAGGTCTGGCATGGGGCCTGCAACACGTTGGCTGGGCCAGTCTAACAGTGACCACCAGCCTGTTCTCCATCACCGGCCTTGCTGCAGGTCCTAGGTCAGGGTGTGGGCGGGGGGCACCGTGCCGGGACTGGGCATTTGTGGCCTGGGTGCCCTGCAGGTGGGGACTGATGGGGTGAGGGGTGGGCTCTGGATTTGGGACCCCACCCACAAGGATGCTGTCTCTCGTCCACTCCCAGGTGTCAGTCCTGGTCATGTGTCACACAAGGGAGCTGGCCTTCCAGATCAGCAAGGAGTATGAGCGCTTCTCCAAGTACATGCCCAGTGTCAAGGTGAGCCCTGGGCTGCCTGGTACCACCTCGGCTCTGGCCCAGCAGCATTGACCAAGCTTGGCCGGAGCCGCTGCCTCTGGGGTTTGCTGTGGTTTATGCTCCTTAAGAGCCTGATGAATTATGCATGGCCCCAGGGGACTGTGCCTGTCCTAGCCTGGGCTGCCTTTCCCTGGCACCAGGCTTGCAGGCCTTCCTGGTTCTGAGGGACCTGGGCTGGGTGTGGGTATCCCTGGGGGCCATCACGCTGGAGCCTGTTGTAGGGTGCACACCTGCAGCTCCACAAGTAGAGGCAACTTCTGTGTGCTTGTAGGTGTCTGTGTTCTTTGGAGGTCTCTCTATCAAGAAGGATGAGGAAGTGCTGAAGAGAAACTGTCCTCACGTCGTGGTGGGAACCCCAGGCCGGATCCTGGCACTCGTGCGGAACAGGAGCCTCAACCTGAAGAACGTGAAGCACTTTGTGCTTGATGAGTGTGACAAGATGCTGGAGCAGCTGGGTGAGTGTCCCTTTCAGACCCCAGGGCCACACCTCCCACCCCCACAGGCCCCAGAGTCAGTCTAAGGGTGTCAGCAGCAGGCTGCAGGCCCCACAGTGGGTTGTACAGGTGGCCAGAGCACAGATCTCCTGTTGGTGGTCCAGAGGAGCCGCTGGTTTTGGCCACTGACATGCTGCCCATGAGCCTGAACTTAGTGGGACTACAGGGCCCAGAGGAACCACTGAGTCTTGGTAGTGTGTATGCCCCAGTGAGCCTGGGGGTGGTGGGAGATGGGGCTGTGTCCCACAAGGTGCAGCCCTCACCCAGTGGCTTCTTTGCCTCAGGCTCCCCTCCCTGAAGCGTGGCTCAAGGCGCAGTGGCCCAGCTGCCCGAGCAGGCCATGTAAGTGGACCGCAGCTCCTCGCGCGCCTGCGCTCCCTACCCGAGTCCAGCCCTTCAGGCACCAGGACTCTGCGCCACACCTGCCGTTCACTGGCCCGGTCACCCTGCCAGCATTGTCCTGGCACAGGCTGGGAGGGTCTGGGCCCTTTTGGTGGGGCTCGTGGTCTGGCAGGCACTCAGCCCAGGTTTCTTGCCCCGTACAGACATGAGGCGGGATGTGCAAGAGATCTTCCGCCTGACACCCCACGAGAAGCAGTGCATGATGTTCAGCGCCACCCTGAGCAAGGAGATCCGGCCAGTCTGCAGGAAGTTCATGCAGGATGTGAGTAGGGTGACACCCGCCTGTGGTGGCCGTGACCTCAGCGCAGCAGCTTCGGCCCTACCTAGGGGCCTGGGCCAAGCCACGACGCCCACGCTGCCCTCATGGCACAGAGGATGCTGGGAGGCTGCAGAGGTGCCCGCCTTGCCCTGTTTTGTCTTGCTGGGAGCCGAGCGTGGTCCACGCCTGCGCTGACCCGAGCCTCCGTCCAGCTTTGGTTGAATGCTGTGCGGAGGTTGGGTGCTGCAGGCTCTCTGGGAAGCACCACCGCAAGGAGCCAGCTGGCTGCAAGGTTCCGGGCAGGCACCGCGACCCCGAGTGAGCCCCGCGCGCCCCTCCTGCTTCCCTCCCACACAGCCCATGGAGGTGTTTGTAGACGATGAGACCAAGCTCACGCTGCACGGCCTGCAGCAGTACTACGTGAAGCTCAAGGACAGCGAGAAGAATCGCAAGCTCTTCGACCTTCTGGATGTGCTAGAGTTTAACCAGGTGATGCCTCACCTGCCACAGGCCCAGGCTGTGTGGTCTCAGAGGGGCAGCTGGCTGACCACATTCTTCCCCACAGGTGGTGATCTTCGTGAAGTCAGTGCAGCGCTGCATGGCCCTGGCCCAGCTCCTCGTGGAACAGAACTTCCCAGCCATCGCCATTCACCGAGGCATGGCACAGGAGGAGCGGTGAGTGCTGGCCAGCCGTGCAGGCAGGGAGCAGCGCCCAGGACAGAGCTCTGGGACTCTTGTGTGATGGCTTCCTCTTATCTCTCTGTACCCAGCCTATCACGCTACCAGCAGTTCAAGGACTTCCAGCGGCGGATCCTGGTGGCCACCAATCTGTTTGGACGAGGGATGGACATTGAGCGTGTCAACATCGTCTTCAACTATGACATGCCCGAAGACTCAGACACATACCTGCACCGGGTGGGTGCCACAGGCTGGTCTCTCACCACAGCCCCTCAGGAAGCCAGAGGGTGGGCACCGGGCCTGTTTTATGCACTGCCTGACCCCATCCTGTTTCCCTGCAGGTGGCCCGAGCAGGTCGCTTTGGCACCAAAGGCCTGGCCATCACATTTGTGTCCGATGAGAATGATGCCAAAATTCTTAATGATGTTCAAGATCGGTTTGAAGTCAATGTAGCTGAACTTCCAGAAGAGATTGACATCTCCACATACAGTAAGTGGCTGGGACAGGACCGCCTGGGGCTCTGGAGCAAAGACCTGCCCTCACTGCCCCCTCCTGTCTTCACAGTTGAGCAGAGCCGGTAACCACGCTCCTGGAAGGCCATCGCCATCGCCGCCCTGCCTCCTTCCCACACGCACGTCCTCCAAACGACCGTCTCTTTTTTTCTGTTGAAAAGCTGTAGATTTGTGTAAGAATACATTTTTATTATGGAAGCCTAGTTTGTATGCTGTTTTTGTCATTTTTTCTGTTGGTCCCCAGAGAGCCCTTCTACCAGTGAGCAGTGCCACCTTCTGTATCAGTGTGATATTTAATGTTAACTGTCAACATTGAAAGGTTTACACAGGTAACAAAACAAAACATCAACAACTTTCAAAACGTGAGGCCGCCTTGCCCTCATGCAGGCAGCGGTCTCTGTACCGTGAACCTCGGCGTGGCCAGCACTCTGGCCGTGACATCAGTCCTAGCTTAGGGAAGTTGAACCTGTGCCCCTGGTCTTTTCTGGTCTGGCAGACAGCTGAGGGCAAACGGGCAGGTCGCGGCAGGGCCCCAAGCCTGTGCCCTGCCTGGCGCGGCCTGGCATGTCGGGTCACAGCAGGGGTGTGGCAAAGGCAGCCAGGAGCGGGTCCGTTCGCCACTCCTTGTTTGTGGGTTCAGGAGCAGCTGCTGTGCCCTCTGCACTTCATGCAGCCCGAGGCGCAGGACTGCAGCGGTGGAACGGGATGTTGTCGGCACACAGGAGGAAGCCTGGCCTTCACATCCCAGACTCTGAAGGCCTGAGGGCCTGGAGGAGAAGAGCCATGAGACCTGAGCCACCTGGGCTCCCCAGCATCCCCGTGCCCCAGGTGGAGTCCTTACCCGGGTCTGCTGGCTGCTACTGCCAGTGGAGGAGGCGAATTCTGAGTACTTGTTCCCAGTGACTGCACAGGCCCACTTCAGGTATTCCTCCCTCACCTGCGGCCAAGGCCGGGTCAGGGGAGATACCCGCCGGCCTGCACCCCAGCGCCCCGACGCAAGTCTTTCGCGCCTCACCTTCTTGTTGAGCAGACAGTGCAACACGAACAGGAAGGTGCCCTGCAGACAGTTGAGCACTGTGAACACGTAGGCCAGCACGGTGCTGTGCCAGCTCTCGGGGCTGAAGAGGAACAGGCCGAAGCCCCAGGTGCAGCCCAGCACGAAGAGCTGCGCCACTGCGGTGACGGTCACCACCCTGCGGAGACCGGCAGCTGCGGTGGGCCAGGCGCAGAGGAGACCCCCGCTCCGGGCCACTTTACCGCCCACCCTCCTCACCTCGCTTTCCGCAGTTTCTTCATGTCCGGGTTGATCTCGGAAAACTTCTGCGTGAGCTTCCACACAGTGACCACAAAGACGACGGCGTTGCACTGCAGGCACACACAGCAGTTAGAGGGGAGCGGAGGCCGCGGCAGGGGGCGGGGCCGGGGGGGCACCTACCAGGATGACGAAGGTCAGCGGTCCCAGGAAGCTCCAGAGGAAACCCCGCTTCGGGTCCAGCCAGCAGCTGGGAGACGGGGTGGTCAGTGAAGCCCGGAGTCCCTACCAGCTGCCTCGTCCCCACCCCGCCCCTGCGGCGCCACTCACTGGGCCGTGTGGCCGTAGCCCGAGCCGTTAGCTGCCGCTGAGATGCCCACGACGATCAAGGGTACGCCATAACCGATCAGGCACTGCCAGCGCGTGGGCAGGCCCTGGCCCTGGAACACGCGGACCACGAGGAAGTAGAGCTCCACACCCTCCAGACTCATCCAGCAGAAGGCAGCCAAGAAGAAGTAGTGCAGCAGCCCCGCCACCAGGCGGCAGCGCAGCCCCACCTGCAGGTGCAGCGGGTGCGGCCCAAGTCAGGGGCGGAGCGCGCACCGCCCAGCCAATCCCCTGCCGCAGACCCCGGCGAGGCGGGGCCAGGCTCAGCGTGCCCTCTACACGTGCTGGGGGGGGTCCACGCGCTCCGAAGGCCAGAGCGGGCTAGGTGGGCGGGGCCTGCTGCGAACGGGGCAGGGCGGCACAATCCGGATTCGCTCATTGGTCAGGTGGGAGCAGGGAGGGGTGAGGGGCGGGGCCTACCTGGCCGCCTACGTTCTCAACGCCCGCCAGGAAGATGGCGGAGCCCAGGAAAAGGCAGATGCAGAGGTGTAGGTGCACTGTGGTGCGCGAGCTCTGGATTGGCCGCACCAGCAGGAAGGTTAGGATGCACAACAGCAGGCAGATGAGCGACACCGACAGCCCCACCTTGGTGATCAGGGACAGCTTCCAGTCCTAGGGCAGCGGGAGGGCGGGTTCTGTGGGGGCCCGGGGCTCCGGACCAGGCTGCCCGAGTGGCTCCTGGGGGCCCCAGCGCTCACCTCCACCTGGTAGTGGGCCATGAGGACAGCGAAGCTGCTCAGGTGATCACACTGGCAGGAGGTGCTGTTCTTCCCGCTGCCCAGCCTCCGGCAGCCTGTGGTGGCCCAGTGTCCATTCCCGCTGCTGTCGCTCTTCCAGAAGGCACAGATCAGCTCTGTTCCAGGTTCCTCCGGCTGCTGCGACACGGAGTTGTCAGAGTCTGGCCTGGAGCTCCTGGGGGGCTGCTTCTCCTTACACAGTGTCCTTTACTGAGTGTCCTAGGTGCACCAGGCTTGGGGACAGCTCAGCGGAAAGGGCAGACACAGGTTTGCCCTATGGGGCCATGGCAGTACTGGGGACAGATGACAGATCATAAACCTGATACTAAACTGGACGATGCGCTGGAAGGCAGTGAATGCCATGGGCAAAACAATAGGGGCGAAGGCTGTAGTTCGGGTCGTTGGTTCTTTTGTGTGTGTGTGTGTCTCTTAGAGACAGGCTTTTGCTGTGCAGTTCAGGCTGGCCTTGAACACACTTTGTAGCCCAGGCTGGCCTCGAACTCAGCAATCCACCTGAGTGCTGGGATTACAGGCATGCACCATCACACCCAGCCAATCATTTGTTTTTGTTTCCCAGGGCTGGGGATTGGCTTGTGCATGCTAGGTGAGTGCTCCATCACTGAGCTGCACCTCAAGCCCTTTTAAAATTTTACTTTGAGACAGGATCTTTAGAGTTGCCTTGTGTAGGTTCAAACCTGAAATCCTGCCCCAGCCTTCCAGGTGCTGGGATTGCAGGTGTGTGCCGCCATGCTCTACTCAGTAATTTTAAATGAGGAAGCTGGCAAAGGCCTAGTGAGGTGATATTTGAACAAATACTAAAAACATATAAAAGACTGCATGATATGAGCAAGAAGTCCCAGGCAGAGGGACACAGCAGTGCAAAGGCCCTGGGGCACATCTGCTTGTCTGTGGAATGGACAGTAGGGCCTTTCCCTTTTCTCCTGGGGACTCACATGGTGGGAGAAAGCAAAGGTGACAGGGGAGGCCAGTTGGTCCGTGTTGGTGTTGCTCAGAAAGACAGAGTTGACGGCCGAGAGGAGTGTGGCCCGTGCCCCGCGGACGGGTCTCTCGTGGGCCTCTGTCAGTTGCGCTAGCTTCTCGGGCTCCAGGGCCAGCGAGGCGTTGGCCAGCAACTCCTCCATGTGCTGGATGGACAGGATGCCCACCACGGCAGGGCCTGGGGATGGACACGCTGCCACTGCACCTCACGCCCTTGCTCTCTGTGCCCCAGACTCCCACCCCAGGCACCCCACTTCAGACCCCATCCCTCCAACGATGGCTTAGTTTCTCTCGGGTCCAACCCTGTCCCTGTCTGTCTCATCCCAGCCCTCACTTGAGTCCTCTGCTCCTGTTACCACAGCCCAGTCCAGCAGCATCCGTGCGTGGCTCTGGCCCACGGTGACATTTCCGCTGCCATTCTCCTTGACCATCAGGGACATCTCTGAGGGGAGGTGGCAGAGATTGGGGACACAGGGTACAGGCGGGGGCGGGGTGTGTGGGGCCGGGTAGGTGGAGCCTCACCTGTGCTGGAGGGGAGTGAGTAGGTGAAGCTGCCCTCGGGCAGGGCCTGGGCCAGGGACCTCAGGGTATCCTCCAGCTTCGAGAGCAGCCAGGTGGCCACGAGGTGCTGCTCTCGCAGGGACAGGTCCTTTATGTCCCCAGGAGCTTCCAGCAGCCCATCCAGGACCTCAACGAGTTTCTAGGTACGAGGGGTGGCAGAGATGTTAGACAGAGCACAGCCAGGACACAGCCCTCACCTCCCATCAGCGAGCACACCGGGGGCCCTGGGAGTCATCACTGCCACGCAGTAGCCAGCACCCAAGGAAGGACAGCAAGCGTGCGCCTGGGGCACGTGGGTCACAACATCCGGCCGGACTCACTGCCCGCCAGGCCAGCTTCTAACTGAGCTGAGTGGGGCAGGCACTGTGACCAGCTGGGCCACTGAGGTCTGGGAAGTCGTCGGGCCTGCTCTGAAGTGTCAGACACACATCAGAGCACAGAGCACTGACCCTTAGTCTAAGCCAGGCACAGTGAGCACGCCTGTCATCCCAGCACTCAGAAGGCTGAGGCAGGAAGATCACCGCAAGTGTGAGGCCAGCCTGGGCTACACAGTGAGTCCAAGGCCAACCTGAACTATACAGCAACACCCTGTCTCAAGAAAGAAAAAATCTGAAAATCATACCATGTTGAAATGGGTAATATTTTGGATCCACTGGGTTAAAAATACATATACATATATAGATAGATAAGATTTTTTTTCCCCTGTGTTGGGAATGGAACCAAAGTCTTTAATATACAGGCAAGTGTTCTATAACAGTCACACCCCCAGCCCTTAATCTTAACATTAATTTCACTTATTTTTTATAGTATTTTAAAAATACATAGCTACTAGAATAATTAAAATGATGCGAGTAGGTCATATGGTATTTCCTGGTTTTTTCCTTTCTTTTGGTACTGGGGTCTGAACCTGGAGCTTTGCACTGAGCCACATGCTCAACCCTTTATTTTTTACTTTGAGACAAAGTCTCCATAACTTGCTAAATTTTGTAGGCTAGCTGGGCGTGGTGGTGCATACCTATAATCCCAGCACTCGGGAGGCTGAGGCAGGAGGATTATGGCAAGTTCTACAAAGTGGGCTCAAGGCCAGCCTGAACTGCATAGCGAGACCCTGTCTCAAAAAGACCAAAAAAAAAAATTGTAGGCTGGTCTGGAACTTTCAGTCCTGCCTCCACCTCCCAGAATGCTGGGATTAACAGGTGAGTTGCCACCGTACCCAGATCTTTTTTTTTTTACCTATTTCTATTGGGCTAAAACTTCCTTAATTATGCTTCCTCTGTGCAGGCTCCATTGTGTGAACAGAGCCTCTGTTCTGTTAGCTGGGTTTATCAGAACTTCACGCTCATTATCAGTGAGGCACAATTTCCTGCTGCATCACAGATGAGGAAATGGGTCCAGAGAGGGGAAGTCTTCTGCCTGAGGTCACACAGCAAGAAGTGCCAGTGAGATTTCAACTCTGTGGCTCAACGCTAGTTCTCCTTTCCAATACGAGGCATTGAATGGGGGGCTTCTGCCCTGAGCTGCATCTCCACCTCCTTTGTATTTGGAGACAGGGTCTCCCTGAATTGCTAAGTAGTCCAGGCTGGGCCAGAATTTGTGATCCTCCTGCCTCAGCCTCTTTAGTAGCAGAGATTACAGGGGTGCATATTACCAGACCCCAACTATGTGGTTCTTATCTGCTCCAGTCTGCTACTTTTTCCTACCCCCGTGTGTGTGTGTAACAGGTGTCTGTGTGTTTGTATGTCTTGCACACATGCATGTTAGACTCGAGTCCCGCCTCCTTGGTTGAGGGCTGTCTCCACCCACCGAAGCCTCCCATCTCCCGTGCCGCCCTAGGTGCCTCCTGGGTTCTGCCCTTACCTTGATGGTCTGCTCAGCTTCTTGGGGCTGGAAGTCTCGGCGCAGATTCTGCACTTCGACGAAGAAGCGTGAGAGACTCTGTGGGAAGGTGCACAGGCATCAGCCAGCCTGGAGGGTCGGGGAGCACAGGGCAGAGGGGTGGGCGTGCACGCGTTAAGGGGTTTCTACCTTCTGGTCTGCTGGGCCGCTCACCTTGCTGTGGATCCCAGGGGGCAGGGTCCAGACAGGGAAGTGGACCTCTGCTGGGGACAGGATAGGGCTCATGAAGCTGAGTTGTGTGGGGGTCAGGTGGCGGGTATTCTGGGGTCAGGCCAGGCTAACCTTTGCAGGTGGTATTCTGTGGGCCGTTGCGGAACCCAGGAATCGGCTTCCAGCCTGGCCGGCAGCGGCACCTGTATGACCCCACGGAGTTGACGCAGATGGTGGAGTTGTGGCACTGATGCTGCCTGGTGGCGCACTCATCCACCTCTGGGGACACAAACAAGGGGGTCGGGCCCTGTCCCTACCCAAACGGGATCTGTCCCCTCCCCGTCCCCACCCCTTCTTCCAGACAGTGGTGGCCTGGGCTGGAGAAGCTGCCTCCTGGTGACCACGCACCCTGGAGGGGTGGGCACTGGGTCAAGCGAAGTGTGGAGAGGAGCCGCATCCAGCAGGCTGGCCCCGGGCAGGTGTGCAGGGTGTAAAAATATCGAGGGACCTTCCTCCCGGTTAGTACTTAGGTGCCACCCGAGGGCCCCAGCAGCCTCAGTTCTCGGGCTCCTCCCTGGGGTCCCATGGTCTCTCCCCATCTCGCCTTGGGAGACCAAGTGCCCGGCACAGGAGTCTCTTCCAGCACTGGTTCTGCTTGATTTAATCAGAGACCAGGTATTTGGAACGTGGGTCCTGCGACTCTGGGATCCGGGCTCCAGACCTTCACAGACAGTGTTGTTAGGGCCATTGGGGGATCCAGGAGCTGGCTGCCATCCACGCCGGCATTTGCACTGATAGCCACCCGCATTGTTGATGCAGTGGGTGGAGTTGTGGCAGGGGTTCTGTCCGTTGGTACATTCGTTCACATCTGAGGACAAAGCCAGGCCATGAGAGCCAGTCCAACCGGCCCACACCTCCCCCGAAGTCGGCACCCCCCGCCCACTCGCCACTGCCCCCAAATGAGGGTCTTGTCTTGCGTGTGCCACCACCTGGTGACCTTCAGCTCCACCTTCAGAGCACCTTGTGGCGAGGCCTCCCTGCGAGGGGCACTGCAGGGGGTCTCTTCCGTGTTTAAGAAGTGAAACGGGAGAAACCGGATGTGGGCCGCTGGACCTCCCGATCACAAGTCTTTGCTCCTCCCTGGCCATGGCGGAGGCTGCCCTTCTCAGGACTGGGAGTGACACTTTCTTCTACTCCTACGTGACCATGAGGAAGCGGCGGCATCTGGGAACTCACAGGGCACCCTGCGGCCCCGGTCCCCGCCCTTCTCCGTCCCTGGATGAGGCCTTCCAGGAAGCACTGTGGGAACTGCCGCTCTCACCCTGCTCAGTGCAGGCCCTGCCTGGACGCCTCCCCGGCCCCTTCCAGCCTCATGCACCTTCCCCCGCCTCCCGCTGTGCACCGCCTGGGCCCTCTGGGGTGAACTGAAACCCCGGTGGGCAAACACAGATGGATTTGCCATCATCGTCCAAGGAGCTATGGCCCTGGCGGACTTTGCGGTCCTGTGTTGGCTGGCTCACATCTGGAAGGAGAGGGGAGGGCGCTGCGGCTGTGGGCGGCTTCTCGGCTGCGAGCTGGCCAGGCTTCCTGGCACCGAAGCATCTGGAGGACTCCATGGTCTCCTCCCTGGGTTGTGGTGCCTCTTCCAATTCTCACGGAGGCAGCCCATGGTGACTGCGGCGGCCCGGACTCTGTTGTCCAAATGTGGCCAGAAGCAGCCAAGGCCTCCCAGCCCCCTCTGCCTCCCCAGGCAGCTCCCAGGAGCAGCAGGGACGTCACCACCACATGTGTCCCAGCCCACATGGGCCTCCCTGAGTGCTGGGAGACCCGTGTTCCCAAGCAGCCCATCTTGGCTCCAAGTGGTGGCCTGTGACCTCATTCCACCAGGGCTCCTGTCCCACGCCTGAGCGGCCCTCAGACTCGTGGTGTCACCCCCACCCGTTCCACGGAGGTAGACAGAGATGCCCTGAGTCAGGAGCCCCCAGCAGTCTCGACTGCGGGGACAGAGAGCAAGGACCTCGATGAGGGCGTCAGGCCACAGGGTCCCGCCAGGTCCTCTCCACGATCCCCACAGAGGCGGCTGGTGGTGACAATCCACATTCCAGCCCTGTGCCAACTCCAGGCAGCCAGGACAAGAATCGGGTGCCGACGGGGTGGGTGTCAAGCTGTTGTGTCCTCTCTGCATCACCTCCCACCAGGATGCAGACCTGGGGCTTGGCTTCCGTCTCTGCCCTCATGCTGTGGTCCACACTCCAGCATCATCCTCCACCCAACTCATGCTGTGTTGAGGCCTCGATGCCATCCCACCTGGCCTGGCCTCGCTTCCTCTTGCGCCCCCAGCAGGACCAGTGACTGGGGCCTTGGGATGGGGACCTGGGCAGGATGACGCGGGGGCTGCATGCCTACCCTCTGTCCTTCCTTCTGAGGGTCCAGCCTGCGTCCCTGGGTCCACGCTGAGTGGGAGGTCAGGGCGGTTCCTAGGCACGGCTGAGCCTGAAGTGGCAGGCGTCGTCCAGGCCGTTGCTGGGGACGGAAGAAGGCGCCAGGCTGGCTGGGATGTGCCTTCGTGAGCATCCTGGGCGCTACCCCTTCCAGTTTATGCAAATGAGATGCAAATAGATGGAATGTTCTGATCTCCCAGAAGTGGAGGTTCTGGGTCTTGGGGACCACACAGGGGATCAGGTATTCAGAGGGCCCTATGACACCCAGAAAAAGTCCCAGCCATCCTGGGGCTATGACACAGGTGGATGCGTCCTTCAGTGATGAGATGGGACCTCAGGTGTTACGTGCTGCTCCAGTCTAGCAAACTGCTGTGTCGCCTGCCGTGAGGCCCGGGGCTGCGTCCCCTGGCCCCTGACCGTGCACCTCTGTGCCCAGCCGCGGCCTTCCCATCCACGCTGGCTTGTTTCTAACACAGCAGCATCAACACCCTCACCACCCAGTCCTGAGGGCCTCAGCACCCTCAGCTGGGCCATGCTGGGTATCCGGGGTCTCCATGGACCGTTGGGCAGCTTGCTCACTACGCAAGCTGCGTGGGGTACCGGTCCATGGTCTGTGTCCGTGTGGGAAGGAGGGGCCTTTTCCTGATTTAGGACCGCATTCGCCAGCAGCGCGGTGGACAGAGCTCCTCTGTGGTGCAGGCCCCCTTTCCTGCTGTCCTCTGCTGTCTGCGTGCAAGCATGGCGGGAGGGACAGGTCTGGGACATGGGCTGCAGCTCTTCTTGGACCCTTGGCTCAGCCTCAGGCTCCCTTCCCTGACCTCCGAACTCCGCATTAACTCCCCTCTGGGAAGTCCCAGCTTCCACACCCACAGGGGATCCCCCCACCAGAAGTGACCAAGTGAGTGACGTGCAGGGACCGGGCTCCCCCCTCAGCAGGACAACCAGTCGGCTATGCAGCCCCTCTGACCATGCCCCGAGGGTGCCCATCCAGGTGAAGCCAGATCCTAAGACCCAAGAAGTTTGCTGTGGTGAGCTCTGGACAGCGTGCATGAGGTCCTGGTTTCCGTCCCCAGCTCCACAAGAATAAATAAATACATGAAATCCCCAGACCCTTACTAACAGCGCTTTCCATGAACCATGAGCACCAAACACCTTCAGATCTTACTTACCTTCCCAGAATGTTTTTTTTTTTTTTTTGGTACCTAGAATCAAACTCATGACCTCCATGCTTGCCAGGCAGCCCTAACTTCCCAGCAATGAGGTAAGAGCCACTGCTCCTCTGTGTTTACAGATGGGTAAACTGTCCATGAACAATGAACAAAAATGGAGCTACTGCTGCCAGGCATGGTGGTGCATGCCTGTAACCCCAGCACTTGGGAGACTGAAGAGGACTGAAAAGTTTGAACTCAGCACTGGAAACTTGGTGACTTAGCAAGACCCTGCCTCAAGATTTTAGAAAGGGCCGGTGGTGTAGCTCAGTCCCAGGCCATGGGTTCAATCCCTAGAATTAAAAAAAAAAAAATGGGGACTCCTTTTTCCCTCTTAATTTCTCCTTTGCACAGAATCACAGTACCATCACCACACGTCACTCAACTGGGTTTCTGTGAAGCTGGTGGTGTCACTCGCACAGCCAGAGGGATGGGGCCCTCCCCCGCATCAGCCCGCCGCTCCGTGCAGGGGGACAGGAACACGCACACCTGTTCCTTCTCACACACCAGGCACCAAACCTGTCACCAGGCCCCAGCCCTTGGCCGCTGTGGATCTGGTGCCCCCAACCTCGGGAAGGGGAGGCGTGGGACGCAGGGAGGTTCTTACCGCGACACGTGTTCTCCGCCGCGTTGCTGAAATTTTTTGCTTTGTTAATGAGCTCGTATCCCGGGCTGCACACACAGTAGTAGCTCCCCTCTGTGTTCTCGCAATCTGCAAATCTCCCACAAGACACACTTGTGGGAGGTCCACACTCGTTGATGTCTGGAACACAGCAGGAGAAAGAGTCAGCTCCCATCCCCAGCATGGGGCCCGAGGATGAGTTTGAATCCTTTGGGAGAAATCTTCACTTGCATTGCAGAGGCTGTGCTGCAGCCAGAGCAAGCCATTCCTGAAGCTCATGCAGTCCATTCTGTTCATCTCGGTGCCCGACTGACAACCCAAACTTGGACACAGGGCACAGTGACAAGGTGAGGGACAGGCAAGAAGCTCAGCATTCCTGTCCTCAGTCCTAAGGACAACCTGAGGTGCAGACTCCAGGGAGCTGAGCACCTCTCTCTCCAGGAAGCCACTTTCCCACTCCCTACTGTTCCATCTCCTCCCCTTCCTTCTTCTACTCGTGATCCTGGGGACTGAATTCCAGGAATGCTTAACTACACTGCCGGCCCCTTTTACACTTCTTTATTGTGAGATAAGATTTTGCTAAGTCACTAAATTGCCTAGGCAGTTCTCAAGCTTACAATCCTCCTGCCTCAGCCTTCAGAGTGCTGGGATTACAGGCGTACATCACCACTAACATCTCTCTTCTCACGCAGACAGTCACGAGGTCAAGGGCTGTGCGTCCCAATTCTCCTTATGTGCCCCTGCTGGCACCTGGTGATGCCCCTCACCCCCACATGCCCCGCCTTGTCCCCAAGCCCCTACCATCGCAAACGTCCATGAAGCTGGTGATGGGTTCATGTGGATTGAAGCCAGGGTTGCAGAGACAGGCGGAGCTGTTGAAACATTTGGAGTTTGGAGGGCACCACGGGGCACAGCCTATGGGAGCAGAGAGCACGGTCAGAGAGGAGGCCCCCGCCCTGAGTCTCCCCTGCAACCGCCCCTGTCCCCGGGCCTGGTGTCCCCTCAGGCTCTGCCGTGGGCCCCACGCTCCCAGCCGACTCACCCATGCTGTCCTGGGCTCCAGCTCCCGACAGACTCAGCAGGACACACAGCTCTGTAAGCACAGGGGAGGGTCGGTGGGGCCGTGTGGGAGGCCTGGGCTGCCCCCTCCTGCACTCAGGGTGCGGGAGCAGGTGGGCCCCGACCTGGGCTCTGACCCTGGGCTGTGTCCTGTCACCACAGGGTGGGATCAGGAACGGAGATGGGAAGGTCTGAGCCCAGCGGGGCGCGCGGGGGTGGGAGGGGGTGGTCATGGCTCAGCTGCCGGCTCTCCTGGCCCGAGCCTGTGCGCTGGAGCCTGAGGCAGGCAGACTGTACATTCAAGCCCGGCCTGAGCAACACAGCAAAACAGTCTCAAAATACAAATATAAAAAGGGGGCCGGGGATACAGCTCAGCAGCACAGCGCCTGCCTGCCAAGCGCAAGGTCCTGAGTTTGATTTCTGGTACCCAAAATTAAATAAATAAATAAAATAAAAAGGAGCTGGAGCTCACAGCTCAGTGTGAGGCCTTCGGTTCAATTCCCAGCACCACAGAACAGAAAACAAAACCAGCAGCCGCTGGTCCAGTGCTGTCCCAGCTCTCCTACCTGGCTCTCCGAGGCTCCGGCCTGCCCAGCCCCGCCTCAGGGAGGCGTGCACACCTGCCACCTCCACCACCAGGGGAGCCCCAGAGCTCCCCGGACCCAGCAGTGACATCTTACCCTGCTCCCCACACAGGAAGAGGCTGTGGCCACCATGGGCTCGACTGAGACTGCTGCTGCTATCCCCACCGGGGCTGTAGGACGTCATCGAGTCCCTGCCAGCACGGGGGCAGAACCTCGAGGACCCCAATAAGCCTGGGAGTCCTGGGTGGCAGGATGGGAGAGGGCTGGGGACCCAGGGGCTGGGTGAGTCACTTCCTGGGCCAAGGGGAGGTGACTCACTGCCCAGGGGGGCATGCGGACCCTGGATTCAGCACTATGCATGCAGTTTGGAGGCTGTGGGCCCGCCAGAGGGGTCCCCCAGCATTCACCTATGTCTAAACTCAGTGCCCCAGCCTAGGGGACCATGGAGTCTCCCCAACCTTACCCCTCCCTGTGGGGATAAACTGAGGCTGGGGCCCCAACCCCACTGTCTCCCTAGAGCCCGGAGCCCTGCCTGCTTCCTCCTCTCCGGCCGCAGGGCCCGGCCGGCCCTCCCACACTTCCTCCTCCAGGGACCACACGGTGACCTCAGGCTGGACTCTTCTCTGTCCCCGAAGCCCCACGCAACTCCTCTCAGGCCCCACAGCACCCGGCAGGCGGGGGCTGTTTATGGAGAAACAGGCCTGGAGGCTCAGGACGCATGGCATGGACAGAGGGGCCTGGAGAAGGTGGATTTCAGGGGTGAGGCCCTGGCCCGGGAGAGCTCCTTGCACCCTGACACCCGGCCCGGGCGGCCCCTCCCATCCTGAAGCCACCAGGCCAGGGTGTCTGCATCTGGGGACTCGGAATTCGGCCAAACGGGAGCCAGAGCAGAGCTGCTGGCCATCCGCTCCAACATCTGCTTCTCATTCTCAGACGAGCAGGAAGGCCCCCGCCTGGGAAACTGAGGGGGGGTGCCTGGGGGTGCCTCCTGTTACGGACCCGGGGCCCCCGGCGCCGACTGCAGGGAATTCACCACCATCACAACAATAAACTACTTCGGGCTGTAAAACCATGCCGTAACGCCGAGGCCCGCCTTGCTCCTTTTTGTTTTTACTTTTTGGTTCCAGCCTGCCCTGCCGCTGAGCCACCCCCTCCAGGCCCTCCATAAGTGACCCCCGGCTGGGCTGAAACCCGCCACCCTCCAGCCTCAGCCTCCCCGGGAGCTGGGAGGTTGGGAGTGCGCCACCGCGCCCAGCGCCTGCTCCATGTCACAGCTGAGGACAACAGCGCTCCGGGCTCTGTCACAGCTGGCCCTGACACAGCCACCCAAGCCCGGCAGCTGTGCCCCAGCAAATGTCCCTTGCGCGCTCCTGTCCCCGCTCCCGTGCCTGGGGGCACTGTGCTGCCACCTGCCACGGCGCCTGGCCCGGCCCAGCGAGTCGGCGTCCCCCAGTGCCGTCTCTCCACCCTCCTAGAAGCCTGCTGCTCAGGCAAGGGCTGCCCCGCGGCCGTTAGGACCACCCTGGGTGTGGCAAGGAGGAGGGGAAGTGGCAGCAGTGGGTTCAGCCCTGCTGCAATCCCGCCACGGCCGGCCCAGCCCGCTCCTGGCGCTCAGGAACCGGGTGCATGGGGACCACCCCGCCAGGGAGGCAGCGGGGACCGCGTGGGGGTGGCCCCAAGCACCGGGCAGGACACCAGCCGCCAGTCCCCGCCTGCTCTAAACTAGGAGCCGCTGTCCCGCGGTCTTGACACTCGCTTTGGGCCTCTTTCTTTTAAATTTTGAGACAGGGACTGGCTAAGTTGCCCAGGTTGGGCTCAATCTTGCGATTCTCCTGCCTCGGGCTCCCAAGTGCCGGCATGACAGGCGCGCCCACCTTGCCCCCTTTCTCTTCCCCGTGCCTCGGTTTCCCCTCTAGGGGCGCGACCTCCACGTGGGCTCCGCACAGAGCCGGAACCCCCCGGCCGCGCAGAGGCGCAGGTTCTCGGCTCCGGCCACGTGGCCCCCCGGGGTCCCTCTCGGGCCCCGCGCGGGTCTGCGGATCCTACCGAGCAGTCGGCGCGGGGCTCCCATGGCTCCAGCTGGCCGGGGACGCGAGAACCGGGACTCGGACAGCCCTACGCGCGGAGCATCCTGGAGCGGCTGCGCCAGCCCGGCTTTATTTAAGGGGAGGTACCAGCCCGCCCCGGAACCCCGGGGGCGGGAGCACAGGCAGCGCCCACCACCACGCGGGGGAATGAGCTTCACCGGCCTGGGGTGCACTGCAGCTGCCAGCGCCAGAGAAGCGAGACCCTCCTGACTCTGCGGGCGTGTGTACAAGTGCCAGCTGTAAAAGGGGACGGAGGGGGGAGGGATTTTACTCAGGATTTGCCTGGACTGTATAATAAGTGGGTGGGGACTAGGCGGCCAGTAGTGGCAGTGCATGCCTGTGACCCCAGCACTCCGGGAAGTTGAGGCAG